AACCAGCACACACCAGTATGGGATACTGGGCTCATACTGTGCAGCCCCTTCTGGCTCATTTATTTTGCACTGGACCCTGCCATCTAAATACCTTTTTGGTTGTGTTCCTTTTTGTTTTTCATAGGCATTTCAGTCCCTCTTTCGTTGCTGCCTTTGTGCTACTTCGAGCCCCGAAAGGTCAGGCCATGACTCAGCTTCGTACACTGAATGAACTTAGGGAAAGAAAATCTGACACAATAACTTTTCTAAGCCATATACTTCCTATCCATGTTTTCCAGAATAATTTATTCGCAGCCATGTCACGTTCTGAGAGTGCACAAGGGCACGGTGAGGGTGTTCAAAGGTGTCGGGGTGGGGCTTTCCATGGAAGGCTTTTTTGTAACAGAACACAAAAGTTGTGGCGGTTTTTTTAAAGTGTTTTGCACATGTGTAGCTGAGGGAGAACTGTGTGTGTCCAAACCTTGAGTGCAATCACCGTTTTTCAGGTTGTTTGGGGAGGGAGGGAGGGCAGGAATATCTGTGGTTATAGATATTTGAAGGCAGCCAGCTGAGAGTTTACAAAACACTTCTCCTAGCATGAACGAACACGGGAATTTCAGCTCAGGCCGTGACTTTTGGCCGTGACCAGTGACCTGGGGTGGCCAGTTTGAGCTGCCAAGGAAGGGCCTGATTTTGGGGGCCCAGCCCCAATCAGGTGCCTTTGAAGGGTCTCAGATGGGACACCCAGGGGTGGCTTTTCACCTGCAAAAACTCACGGCCTCTCTCCGCAACTTCCGATGTAACTGAACACAAATGGTTTGGTTGTTGATTTGTTTGTTGTTTTTTTTTTTTTCTAAATTTTATTGTATTATTGCAATAAATCTTTAACAGTAATTTTTTTTTTTTTAAAGTTGTATATTTATAACTGTTACCTCTGTGTGGTCTGTTTTTCACCGTGCTGGGCGAAAGTACACAAAGAATTTCCAGCCTTCAAAGCATCACAGGGACCAGACCTGTTACAGTGTTACAGTCATACAGCGGTGGAATAAGCAATACCCATTCTAAAAAAATACTCTTACATAAAATAACTGCATCTCCAGGGGAGCAGGAGGCGGGTTCCTGCACACCACACACACACACACACATCCCTTTATGTACATGTAAACGGGTAAATCTCTCATGTGAGCCTGGCTCGGGGCTGCTCGTGTGCTGGGTGAGGTTTGTTTCTGCAGGTGCTGAATTCCTGCTGCGTGCAAAGGGGGATGCTCCTCCTTACAAGGTCATTTCAGGATGTGAGATGTGGCTTTTTACAGATGTAACTGTTAAAGTGAGGCAGTGTCTGAGCAACAGGGATGGGAAAGGGCTGAGCAGGCTCTGCCCTGGGGATGTGGTGGCCTGGCAGGCCATGGGTTACAGGCTGCTGAATGATGGAGGAAAACCAACCCCTCCCACCCGATTTTTTGTGATGTATCTGATGGGAAGGACTGATGCCCTGTGATTCCTGGCTGCTGCACACTCAGGAGTGGGAGCAGCAGCCACGTGGTGTTCCTGCACACAGAGCTGGGGGCAGGTTGTTGCCTCAGTGACAGCACAGTCAGTCCTGGCCATGGGCAAAGCCAAGCCTGGCTTTGAGCTCAGCTCATGCCTATGGGATGTTCAGGTCAGCTCTGCTTAAGCAGGGCCAGCAGCAGGAGGTTTTGTCCTCTGCCCACACTGGTTTGTGGCAGGAGAGCAGCCTGATAATGCCCCGAGTCCTGTCCCTACTCCAGGGTTGCCTGGACCAGCCAAAGGCAGGCTGGGAAGAGAAACAGCCCAGGGTGAGGCTTCAGCACCATTCCCACTCTGTGAGAAGTGGGACTCGAGACAGAGTTTGGATGTTTCAGTGCAGTTTTGTGCAGGTGTGAAATCCCAGAATGGTTTGGGTTGGAAGAGACCTTAAAGCCCATCTCAATCCAACCCCCTGCCATGGGCAGGGACACCTCCCACTAGACCAGGTTGCTCCAAGCCCTGTCC